ACCTAGTGGCACTTACTTTCAGAGCCTTGTCGAATGATGAAGTACATTTTTCAACTCGAATGCAAAACGGAACAAATACATCCAAAAAGTAACCTCTTTCGCTGCACTCCAAAACAATGCGGTCCTCTCCTACATCCAAATGTATATCCTTGACGGCAATCTAGAAAATAACATTTACTTGATTAACAAAACTTGAATTTTCAGTACTTACAACTTCGGGCAACTTGAACTCTCCAATCAAACAGTTTGGGCTGACTTTTTTTTTATAGAGCCGATGCTCTGGCTGCTTAGTGGATATATCGTCGGAGGAAATAGTCTCAATCGCCACCTTTTTCGGTCCGTTTTCACCGATCACTTCAGGCAGTAGAGGTTTTTCTATTCCCATTTTTTCATCGATTTCTCTCTGTTGGATCCGGTGCACTTGCAATGTGCCGAAAGCTTTTCGGTTGTTGAGGACTATTTTGTTGTCGACACACTGCAATCCTAAATGGAAACATTTTATACGCCCCCCTTTTAAGGAAAAGCACAACTACTAATACTAAAAACCACAATATTTTCTAGAAACGCCGGGAAAATTTCGTTGCCGATTTTTCGAAAAAAAATTCTTGTTAATCGCACCGTATTTGCTGCTCAAAACTCCTTGAAACACAACGGTCATGAAGAACTCGTTGAACAACTTTTGAGATTGCAATTTGGTGAAAAAGCCTGGATTGATCGCGATGTCCACCACCTTTACATCGGTTCCCTTTTTATCTTGCTCAGTTCGGACTTCTCCAATACTCATAGGCACCCTAAAAACATCATTTAATGAGTTCCTTCTTGTAGAAAAATATTTCCGGCTTTGTTCGGAATTTAGAGAAAGCGAATAGCACCTGAATTCACTGCTGTCGTCGGAATCGATATATTCTTGCAGTTCCGACTCTGAGATGTTTTTGGGCGGCGGAATTGCATCAGTGGTACAAATGTTAACAAACACTTTAACATCAGTTCCCACCTCTTTGCTTTTAACACAGATTCCTGAAAAGGTCAATCTTAAAAAAATATATTTTTTCATGTCCACAAAACAAATTCTGGAAAAAAA